TACTACGTGCACGAATGCACGACTTAGGAGTTAGATGGGGGAGGGTGAACTTAAACTGGACTGGCATGTGGTCTGAAAAAACATTATCAACAATAACAAGATTATTAACAGTCACATCATGAGTTAAAACAAGGTCCAGTGTATGTCCGCGCTCTTGGGTGGGACCGTTTACATGCTGAGTTAGATTAAATGAGTCCAATAAATCTAAAAAGTCCTTAACCAAGGGCTTCTCAGGACAGCACACGTGCAAATTAAAGTCCCCAATAATGAAAACATGCTCATATTTTGGTGTGATTTCAGCCAAGAAGTCAGAAAACTCATTTATGAAGTCCTTAGATCGAGGTGGGTGGTTGACGAGTGCAAATAAAGTCGGAGGCAAATGTCCGAGTTCAAAGACGCTCAGCTCAAAGCTGGTGCGGGAAACTGGGATGGGCAGTTGTTTACAGTCAAAAGTTGATTTGAATATTGTTAATAATCCACCACTGCGCCGGCCTGATGGCTGTGGGGCGTTAAAATACAGACAGTTAGGTGGAAATAATTCCGTCAAGGCGCTGGACTCATCCGGAGACATCCAAGTCTCTGTGATACAGAGAAAGTCTAACCCGTGCTCTTGAAAGTAGTCCCTGAGGATAAAAGTTTTGTTGTTAACAGATCTTGCGTTGACCAAACACCTAAGAGACAGAAGCATCCTAAAGGATATTTTCTTTCAGCTTCTTGGAAATTTCTTTCACATGAGCTGGAAATCCACTAGACGTATTCATTTACAAACTGTGATTTATAAAAAATTTGGAAGGCTGTGAGGAAATGGCAAAATGGAATTGTGTATCCTCTGCGCAGTTATTACCTTTGATTGATGCAGAAAACTTTTCAAGCTGAAAATGAATCAAGTGATAAATTGGAAAAGAAATGCAGTTTTTGAGGAATTACCGTAAGAGTTTCCATAGTTCCGCTAGGCTCATTAGACCACGATTTCTGGCAGCATAAACCAGCTAAAATTGACATTTGTTCTGTTAAACCCGCACATGACTCTTCATTAGTTGCTCAGTTACATCAGAACAAAATGCCCTTCGTTGTCATTGTCTTTGCACCAAGCACCAATATTAATTCACTCTGTTGGGAGATAAACAAATTACACAGTGAAATCAGATCATAAAGGTTTCTCTACTGGATTTGTTTTGTGACTTTGTGGAAACCTTAGCAGAACATAGCTCATTTGTATTTATACATTTTGTGTAACATTTGCTTGACGGATCTGGCTCCTCTGTACCAGCCTTCCCGGCAGTCTATTTGTAATTCTCCTTTTTTCTGTTTATTGACCTGTCATCTATCACCGAGAGTTGGATGACTTCCAGCTGTCGTTCACAAAAAGAGGTGAAAATAAAACATGAAAAACTCGTGACGTAGAGATGAGAAGCGGTGGAAAGAGAAACACAGCAGAACATAAAACTGCAGAAGCTTGTAATAGTGTTTCCTCGACATTAATTAGCCACAGTCATTCCTGTACAAACACACAGTAATAAAACTGATATACGGAGGTCCTCTCCTTGGTTTTCCCCTCCCTGCTCCACTTCACATCGCCCATTACTTCCTTTTTCCAGTATTCTTGATTTGATACCCACATGTTAAGTCATATATTTTTTTTTTATTTTTGCCTTTATCTATTTTTACCTCCATTGCCTGTAATTCACTTTGTCCTTTAGAAAAATATTTCATGAAACACTGGACAAATTAAGTGTAAATGAACAATAAATAACTTTTGTGGTTAACACGTTTCAAGATGGTTGACACAGCCAATTGATCTTAAAAATACATAATCAGCCATAGATTTTACAGACAATAAGCTAAAATTTATCATGGTAGTAGGTGGGTGTGGAGTGACTGTGGATCGGTGGAGATGAAGGTTCAATTCCTGGTTGTGTTCAGTCACATATGAAGTGTCCCTGGGCAAGACACTGAACCCCTCTTATGTGCCCTGTTGGTTTATGAATGTGATCTATAGCGCTGGTTAGACACTATAGAATGATTGGTTCAGATTAGCTTTGTAGCGATGTGGTAGAGTGATGTGTGAATGTGTATGTGTGGATACATGAGGCCATGGATTGTGTTGGAAAATACTTTGAGTAGCCTAGTTGTTTAAAAAGGCACAATACAGTATAAGCACAGTCCATAAGGTAAATGTCTGCTTCAATGATACAAGAGCTAACGTATCTCACAAGATTTTGCAATATCACATAAAATTGTGCTAAATATCCTTTACAAGTATTGACCAAAAGGCTATAAGTCTGTCATTTTAAGATGATCTTAGTTTAAAATTCTGTCATGAAAGGCAGCAGACGATGTGCGTCCCTTTAAAGAATGCTACGTCTTTCATTATTTTTCTGTTTTGTTACCTTTTTTTCCTCATTGCTTGTCTTTGCTCTTTTCTTCCTCTCATCTTAACTTATAATTTTTCATTTCTCACTTTTTTCTGCCTTTTCTCCATCCTTTCTCTGTTTTTTTTTTTTGTTTTTTTTTGTAAATGGTGCAATAAATGAAGGAGAAGAAAAGGGAGTTTTTAAGTAGAAGTGGACGGCCCTCTGTCTCTCTCTGTCCTCTTGTGTTGCTGAAAGGGAAGAAAAGATCTTTCACAGTCTTGGTTTACCATTTAACACACACAAAGTCCTGCAGTCACAGAGCCACACTAATGCTGACAGCCACATTGGGTTGAACAAATCTGCAGACGCTCAGTTAAACACAGTTAAACACACGCAGACACACAACCTCTTGCTCCACTGCAATATTTATTTGTGTTGGCTAGGAGTCAGCAGAGGCAGCCAAGCAGCTGAAGCCGGTGTGATGCTGCTTTTTACATATGGCCTTTTTCATACACTACACTGTGACACACACATCAGTCTCATCCGCCTCTGTTCTGCTCTTTCGTCTCTTGGTCCACTTAAATTATCATCACCACCTTTCCTCCTTTCCTCTCCTTCATGCTGTTTTGATTCTCACATTCTTGGCTGCTGTTTGACTCTTTTCCTTCTCCTATTTTGTTTCCTTTATTCTTTCTTCTTGCTCATAAATCACCTCTGTCATATTTTGCATCACTGCTGTTCACTCCTACACTAAAATGTCTTAAACAAGAAAGGTATCAACCATTTAGCTCAGGCACTATTCTCACAAATGATGACGCACAGATAATTTGTTAAATCTGACGTGTTTCTTCTTGGACTTGAACTCTTTCATGGGGATAAAATTGGCCATTTAATTTTTTTCTGTGTTTTTATTTTATTTTTATTTTTTTTGAGCTCTCGGTAAACAGGACTGTTCCTGACAAAGCCTAGGTGGGGTACACCTGGACAGGTCTCCAGCACGTCACAGGGAAAATCAACATGCGCTGAGCCACTGTGACACATTGTTGTAAAACATGAGGATAGCTGATCTTAAGAAAACACTAAACTTCTAAACGTTCTGCTTCTAAGGGTAATCTCTCACTGGGTTGTGGTTGTTGAAAACTCAAAGTTGCAAATAAATAATACGTTTTCAGCTGAGGATTCTGGATGTTTGCAACCAGCAAGAAATGTTTTGGGTGTAAAGTTTTATTTTTTTTAAACCATGGCTTTTTTTTTTTTTGGTTGCACGGCGTAACAAACTGTATTCTAGGCCGTGCACATCGTTTCCACCTCAACATGTTTTCATACACACCTTGGCAGTGACCTCACCGTTTTGATTTTTTCCACGTTTAAAATGAAGATAGGCTGATTTTTAACATTTTTCACAATTGCCATTATTAGACGTAAACATTCAGAGCTGCAGCCTCAGTTGTTTTCTGTCACAGCCTACAGCTGCAGTGCTCTAGAATGACAGAAACTAAATAAATTGAGATGGGGTTGAGATGTTCATAAAAACTGTTTAAATTTGAAATTTTGATGCACTTTTTGAACATGTTCAAAACTCAAGTAACAAGAATGAGAGCCTCTATGACTCAGGAAACCCATGAATGCTTCAAGACATTCTGGAGACTCATGAATGTCTAGTCACAATCAATCGAGATACAGCTTCAATAAAAAGAACAGTGCAATGTGATGATCCTAAGACCAGTATGCTCTCCATCACTAACTACAGTGGTGGAAATTGCACTGAAACAGAGCTGGATTTAGACATGGAGAGGTAGTTTAACAGCTGCTAACAAACCAGTGCTTAAACTGTAATGATATTTAAATTATTGGGTTGATTTTGTTCCTGTGTGGGTGGTGGTGCTTGTTTTTCCGTGAGACTTTTGGTGTGTTTGCGCATGTCCTCTTGACTGACGTCCTTGACTTTACATTTGATAATATCATTGCTTCGGGTCCCCATTGGAGCAGACAGAGTTGTTATTTGTGTGTTCACATTATGTAAGAGAGTGATTGTCTGCTTGAATACACCCACTCCCTCAGGTCCCATAAACACTGCATCGCACTCAAGCTCACCTTGTTTTTTTTATAGCATCCTCCTACATACATGATTTAAATGCTTCCGTATTTGTTCTGTACACATGTACTCTAGTTTGCATTGACCTTTAAAGGTCTCCAGGACAGTGTTAACACATCACTGTAATGATGACTACTCATCATGTGGCTTATCAGTTCTGTCCACCCACTTCTCTTTTCTTCTAACTTTATGTGTCGGTGTACGTTTTTCTTATATGGTGTTTCCCCTACACACACAGATGCATATGTGTTCTGTTTTTATTGATTTATACAAAAGCATAATGACATAATGGCAGTTTTTAGTTTGTCTGGGGGGATATTACAGCTAGTCCAAAATTTGACTACTAGTTAAAGAATGCTGGGGTTTTTTTTTTAAGGTGAAAAAAACAACAACTAATTGATGGGTTGTCATTTACATTACACTAGAACTTTAATTCTAGTTATAATAAAGCAATCTATTAAACGTTTTCCCTCTTTAATATTCCAGATTGAAGAATTTAAAAAAAAAGTCTTCTTCACATCAACTGATTCTTTTTTCTCCTGTTTTTCCAGGTTTTCCGTACGGACTTTATCACGGCCATGAAGCTGCCAGACTCTGCGCAGCTTGGCCTCGATGACTTCTATGTGCTGTCAGACCCGTGGAGACAGGAGTGGGAGAAGGGGGTGCAGGTCCCAGCCAGCCTGGAAGCCATACCTGAGCCTGTGGTCAGGTAAGACAATCTCACCTATGAAGTGCTTTCGGGTCATAAAATTCACTTCCTGGGAGGAGATGATTCACTGTGGAGATATGTATTACTGCATACTTTTTAAAGGCCTGCTTTGTTTGTGTTTGCATTTGCAAATTGGAATGCTGGAGTGATGTAACAGCTGACTGAAGCTATATTTCTTCCCTCACAAATAAGTTCAGTTCATCTTCATTATGGCTCTGTTACTTTTTATACCCCTGTTTTCGAATTATTAGGGGAAATGGTTTATTTAATCAATATTGGTTCCTCCAGAGTGCCCCTGATGTAATTATCATGTTAGTTTATTTTACAGAGAAAAAAGATTTGGAAGGATTTATTTACTTATTTATTTTTCCAAATTGTGAAGTGTCATTGATTTTGAAGGGGTGAACTGTGAACCTTCTGGTGTACCCAGAAAAATTGTGTTTTTCTCAAGTATTTATTGGAAATTTGGTTTAAGGAGCATATTAAGCTATTTTATTTCAGAAAAGTTTGTCTTTTAATCTTATTTCCTTGTCACCAGCGCCAAACAAACAAAACAGCAATTGAATAATTAAAAGAATAAAATAAATAGGCAACAAAATGAAGTTGTTAAAGTCTTGAGTTTAATAAATGCATCAAACTCTCTGTCTTATATTAAACAGATCTAGGAACAGTCTGTGGGACTGAAGGGATATGGGGAGCTGGTGTGAATTTTTCTGTCAGACGTCTGATTACTCAGGTAGAAGCTGTTTGAAGCAGGAATATGGAAATCTTCAGTTTCACTGGTTATACAGTATGTATTGATATCTGTGGTTTTATGAATGGTAATTGTCTGTGTGCTGCTGCCATTCTTGACCAGGTCTCTCTTGAAAATTAAATTTTTAATCTCAATGCGATCTACCTGGTTAACTAAAGGTTTAATTTAAAAAATGCTTTGACAACAATAAATCATACACAACTTGAGACAAAATGAATAAAAGTGATTAAATAATGTATTCTTGAAAAGAACCTGGAGTAATTTGTGGGTACTGTTTGTTGATATGCTCAAAAACTGCCAAAGGAAGCAGATTTTGTTTGCAGTGAAACACACGCAGACCTCGAGCTGGTCTGCAGCTGTGCACAGGCTTGGACCACTTTACTTTTATTGCCCCTCTCTGTGCCACAGTCGGCTCTCCGGCTCTCGAGTACTACCGCAGCTGCTTCGCATACCCATGTGGGGTTTTTTGGGCATTCGAGGAACTAATGAAAATGCTCAGACTGCCTGGTAATCCTGTTAGACATGTCGGACTAAGAGGCCACACACAAACTAAACACACTGTTAAAATTATTGTACTGAAAGATCTAGTAAATGCTTTTTTTCTTACCTGCGAAGAAAATGAAATGCAAAAAAACTCACTTTCACAGAGGGAGATTAGCTTTTTGCCACAGAGATTTAATGAAAAATGTATTTTTGTTCAACTTGAAGCAGCCAAAAGCTTTTGGACTTATCCGCCAAATCACATTTTTCTCCTGGTTCTACATAGACTTAAGAAAATAAATGTTGTCCTTTTTTTCCAAGTTTTTCCAAAGGACAAAAACTGTAAAAGTTTTTGGTTCTGAAAGTTTAGAATGTGTTGGTCAGGATGTAATAGACGTTGTTACTTAATCATAAGGTTTGTGGTTTGATGCCGAACCTCTTTTCTTACCTTTCAGTTAAACTATCCTTTGGCTAAACTTTAAACCTCAAATTGCTTCTTGATTGCTTCAGTCTAAACCACTGAATGAGAGACAAATAGTCACATGATTTTATAACTGATCTATTATTCATTCCTCACGTTCATTTCCAATAAACCAATAAAAGTAGTGCTGATATATTGACTCTTGGAGCAGAAAAGGCACATTTTTTCTGGGGGAAATGACAAAGTAAATCACAGCGATTCCAAAAATCAATCTTTAAATTGAGACTATAATGATCCAGTACTTCTAGTTAAACTCTTAATTTGAAAAGTTGTGCAGTATTTCACAAGTAATGTCTTACTAAAGCTAAAACACCCTTGAAACATTGTTCTACTAGAGAAGAGGAACAAAGAAGTCAAGAAATATTAAACTAAGTAAAAAATAAGGATAAGCATTTAAGCATAATTTGTCAGAAATTATTGAATTCCTAAAATATTCACCAAATAGATATTCAAGAGACAAGTGCTACTGCTAATTCTGCTAGCCGTAGATGGTTTTAATCCTTCATTTTCACCAGTTCATTGACTCAACATGGAGCACGGTGCATGTATTCTGGCACTAAAGTCCAAATCAAAGTACGTTTTATCTAGACTTCAGATCACCAAATCACTGTCTTTTCCTAATAGTACATAAACATTTATAAATAAAATACATAATACATTTAAAAGGAACAATTGTTGCTTATTGTATTTTTTTTTTACCCAGTGAAATATATCTGTAAATATGCAACACAGATTCAACACATTGTCTTAATCTCCACGGTGTGGTGTCAACAGACTTAATGGAGCCTGAAGGCAGAGATATGTGTATTCATACGGAGTGATGATGAGAAAGAGAGAAAGATAGATGGATGAATTGAGGCTTATCTGTTATCTGATGTGATAAAATGATGAGGTGTGTTACAGTGAAGCTGAAAATGTGATGATGGATAGATGATGAGATAAAAGACAGGAGGGAGTGTAAGTGTGACTGAGCTGAAATGTGTCCTCAATCTTTTTTTCTTGTTTAATTTTAGATAAATCTTCCTTTTTCTGTTTTCCCTTTCATTTGATTGGACTCAACTCGCAAATAATACCTGTGACATTCTTGATTTTATAGATTAGACCCATAGTCAAGTGCAGCAAAGGGTCTAAGCAGTTAGTGTAACAGCGAGTAAATGTAATACTTGAAACCCCTTTAAGTCCACAAATCAGCAAAGATCAGCCAGATTGATAGTCTTGGTTAATAAGTAATGGTCCTCAAGTATTATAATAATCCTCTATAAATATTTTTTTAGTGAACGAGAAGCTTTTTTTTTAATTGATTGTTGCTTTTACAGAACTTCTCAGGTAATTGCGTTTAAATGGTGAACTGAAATTTCCAATTTCCAATTGAAAAGTATTTTTTTCCCTTTGATTTAGCAGTAAATCATCATCAACAATTTTATTTATAAAGCGCTTTAAAGTGCTGAACATTAGTAATAAATACGATAAAAGAAAGCATGAAAATAAAGTGACAAAACTAAACACACAATAATTAATTAAAAACTCAATTTAAAACACAATAAAATGACGAGTTAAACAGATAAAATCAATACCAATAAAAATGAAGTAAAATCAAGTCTCAGTTGGGATCTGGCAAAATCTGGTAAGATACTGATGTTTATTCCATGTTTTAGGTTTAGCAACAGAAATGGTTTTAATTAGATTTATGAAAACTTCTTAAGTAAGTTGCACCTTTTGTTTGCTGTGTTGAATCTTGTGCAACGAGTTTCTCTTTCATTTTTTATAGGTAACCACAGTTACGTGTCCTCTGAGTGTGAAGTCACATCATGAGACTTCAGCAGTATGTCTCATAGCGTCTTTTTAAGACATCGACAGACTTTTATTTACACCTGCTAACTGATGCCAAAATGTCCTGACCAAGCAGAGGGCTGTTTGCTGTAGATGTCCCAGGGTAAAACATTGGAAATTCAATTACAGTTCAGTCATAGTCATGCTTTAAAACCAGCTCTCAGCAGCTGGTTTCAAATGTGACCTCTGTGCTGTTTCCTGTGAACATCTCTTGATGTGAGGGTAGCTTCACATGAGATACAGACTGGCTAATTGGAAAAACGATGCTTCCTGAGAAAACCTTCTCTCAATCAACATCCGCTTATATTACCGATTTTCGCTATACCTTCACGGTCTAGCAAACTCCAGAACACGGAGGTGGAAGAGTAGCAGAAATAGGGGTGGGAACCGGAATGAATTTTATCAAAGACTAGAAGAGCAAAGAAACAATCTGGTTTTGTAATTTAGGATCAAATATAGTAGTCCCTCATTTATTGCAGGAGTTGCATGCCAGACCCCATCCGCGATAAGTGAAAATCCACAAGGTAGCAATGTTATATTTATTTTAGTATTTACATTTTAAGGCTTTATAAACCCTTCCCGCACTCTTGCAATGTTCTAAACTCTTAAACCTATGTCATTTTAACAACATACGTACAGTAATGTGTATGTAGCTACTAAATTTTACTTACCAGCTCGACAGAACAGCAGCGGTTCGGTTCCACTCTGTTCCGGTCTGACTCAGTTCTATTTCTTAAGACCTACACTGCAGCAGAGAAGCCCACAGTCAATGTTCTAAACTCTTAAACCTACTAATTTTAACAACATACTTATGTGTAGCTACTAAATTTGACTTACCAGCTCTGCAGAACAGCAGCGGCTCGGTTCTGCTTCGACTTGGTTCCATTTCCATGGACCTACCCTGCCGGTTCTGATTGGCTCTTTGGCTCGGGGACGTAATGGTGGGTTCCAGAGAGAAGCTAGACTACGGCTGCGCGTCCCCCACTCTGAAGTCCTCGTGGGCCAGCTAGCAGCTCTCCAGTTCGCTGATGGGTCTGGTTCTGGTCCAGTTCCGTGCAGCTCTCTGAATCTGCTGGGCACCGAAGTCACTGTAAAGGACAAAACTTTTTTTTTGGATCAGATCAAAACTTTCCCTCTACATATTTCAGCAGAATGCAATGGGACTTCTGGGCGGGGCACTGTTGGCTTCTGGGAAATGTAGTCCTTATGAGTGACGATACAGGTTATTGAGAGAAAACTACAAAATGGCGATGCCTGTTTGAAGTATTTTATTTTTTCGTTAACTTTTTACAGTATCCTGTACTGTTCCAATCACGTAATATTAAAGTTGACAATCGTGTAAAAATTTTTTCCCTTGTGTCAATTTTACTTTGAAAAACTGTGAAAGAGCGAGTCCGCGAAAGTCGAACTGTGAAGTAGCGAGGGACTACTGTACAGCGTCATGTACCTTTTAAA